TGTAATGAAGTAGGAGGATTGTCTTAGAATTTAGGCCACCTGGAAATTATTGAACGTGAAAGCAGTACAGGAGAGCACGCCCCAGGGAACCAAGAGCACCGGGAGCCAAGAGAACACGGCAGGAGAGCAAACTTCTTAGTTTAGGGGATTAAATATATCAAATCTGCTTGCAGTGGCCCCACCTATTCTCGCCAATGACCTGTTCCCAAGTGTGATTGACAGGCAAGTACCTTCCCTGCTTCACCCAGATTTTACTGGGCTTGAGTCTGTTCTCCGCCTGCCCAGTCCCCTTCTCCAGCGATCTGTGGGGAATAGACTGGAGGCTTCCTGGGGCGTATTAAACTGCACCTTCCTGGCAAAGCTGCACACACGGCATGCCTGTACTATTTGGCCTTCCCTTTGCTCCTCCCTTGTTATTAATAACTAGGTTAGTTACAACGGCACCACTTCTACCAAATGAGATATAGGCATGCTCTCACTGCCTGCCCACTTACCTTTCTCCCTTATTAAAAGCAAATACTTTCTGGTTTTGTTTCTCAGGATGAGACAGCTATTTGGAGAATGTGTTCTACCAGCAGTGTCAGGGATGTACAGCTGGGGGCGTCCTTTCTCCACATTTTCCTGCCTTCCATTTGACATGGGCTACTTTCAGCCGTCCTTTACTCTGTTCTGTTATTTTGTTGACAGTGAGTTTCACATCTCTGTTCTCTCCTAGCATCTTTCGAGGGCGATTGTGATTTCTGAGAGAAGAATAGGCAAACACTGGAGTTATTTATTTAAATAATAAACTTTATTAAAACTTTTTAAAAAAAGCTTTTAAAAACTTCAGTTCCTATGCATTATATGTAATTTGGCCTTGATATTGGGATAGGGTTTGGGGAATGGAGAGGACGGTGAAAGGAGTGCGCTCAGGCCTCAGAGCCCTCTGTGTTTCCACTTTCACTCTGGGGCAAGTCAGCATGCCTCAGCCAACTTAAGGTTTTTTTCATTTTAATGGGATATTTGACTTACAGAATTCTAAGTATTCTCTATATATTCTCCAAAATATTCATTTATCAGATATATATTTTTCTAGTAGTGTCCTTTTTCTATTCCTGGAGCCAGTCCAGGCTACTGTAATGTGTTTAGGCCTCACGTCTCTCAGTTTCCTCTGGTTTATGGCATTTTCTCAGTATTTCCTGTTTTTCAAGACCTTAAGACTTTTGAAGATGACTGGTTAGATGTAGCATAATTTGGGCATAAGTGATGTTTTCCCATGATTACATTCAAGTGCGGGGAGTTGGGGAAGAATACCACGTAGATGAAATGCCCTTCTTATAGCATCCTACCGGAGGCACATGATACCAATGCCCTTTATCACTGGTGAGTGTAAACTTGAGCGCTTGATTGAGATTATATCTGCCAGGTTTCTCTGCTGTAAAGTCACTGTTTCCCTTTGCATATTGTGTTCTTTACAAGTGAGTCATTAAACCCAGCCCTCACTAAAGAGGAAGAGAATTGAGCTTAGTTTTCTGAAGGGAAGTGTATCAAAAAGTCTGCGTACATGTTAAAATGACCGAAATAATTAATATATATCTGGGAGGAATACTTTGAAGCTATGCAACTATCAGGTTTCTCCTTAAAGTTTTGTCCACTATTTTTTATTTTTATTTTTAAATCCTCACCCTAGGATATTTTTTCCTTTGCTTTTCAGAGAGAGTGGAAGGGGGAGAGAGAGGAGAGATAGAGAGAAACATCAGTGTGAGAGAGACACATCAATTGGTTGCTTCCTGCACGCACCCTGACCAGGGCTGGGGATTGAGCCTGCAAACTGAGGTATGTGCCCTTGGCCGGAATTGAACCCGGGACCCTTCAGTCTGCAGGCTGATGCTCTAACCACTGAGCCAAACCGGCTGGGGCTTGTCCACTAATTTGACCATTCATCTGTGAATCTTATCTGCAGCAATTATTGGTGTTCTGTTCTAGTGGTGGTTTTCTATTTCTCACACTTCTTCTATATTTAATTTTTGGAGTTCTTCGGTAAGAAAGATGTGTCCTTTCTCCCCTACTTTTAAATTTAATTCCAGGAGTTGGAAAACTTTTTCTGATAAGGACTACATTGTAAGTATTTTCGACTCTGAAGCTGGATCCGGGAGGAAAAATCAAAACTATCTTAATGATTCGAGCATGTTGGTCTAATGGTAATTGTGTATGTGTGAAAGGACATTTCACCATAAGGCATCTTTTAAAAAAACAGACATTTGTACCTTACTTTCTGGATACATGTTAATGAATGGAAAGTAAAATGTACTCTTGGATGAACTGGTTGGCGTTTAAAGAGTTGACAATTGGGAGATATTTTTTTCTTACTGGAAACTCAATCTCTTAAAACTTCAGCCACTTCAGAGGTTGGTTTCTGTCTTTTACAGATGACAAAACCGAGGCTTGGAGGGCTAAGTAAATTGTGCGAGGTCATATGCAGAGCTGGGGCGGAATACTCTCAATACTAGTGAGTTGTTTTTTCTGTTACCCTCTGCTGCCACATACAGGAGGAAATAAGTACATCAGGTTAAAAAAAAAAAAGTAGGGTTAAACTATTCTTTACAAAGTTTTGCAACTAAAATGATTTAAAACTGGCCATTATATATAATATTGGAAAAAAAAACCCTGGTTTATTTGGTCTTTATAACTGCTCACTGCTGTGGAAGGTGGTAAGCAATAAAATAAGTTCACGGAAATAAAACAAGTGCTCTGGCTACCATTTATTTGGCAATTGTCAGGAAAGATGAATTAGTCAGCACAAATCCCCCAGAGGGAGCATGATGTGTAAGACTAATAAAATGATACCTGATGATTCCCTGGGAGAGTGAAAGAATAACCTCAAAGAAGAATCAGAATTAAGAAGAAATGAGACCAATCTTTCACAGCACCATGAAGGTTAGAAAGATAAAACTGTAGTACTCCAAAAGCCATGAAATTACTTCTAAAGGCAATAATCGATTTAGTGGGAAACATTAGGAAACTACAAGTTGAAAACAACGTCAACAAGAATGGTAAGCCCGGAGGTCACCGCCATCGGAAAAGTGCCCGGTCAATCCTGATTCTCTCCCCCTGCTCCTCAGCTAAGATTGATTCTGGGCTGAATCCTGAGCCTGAAACAACTGTTTCTTGAGGAGAAACCTTTTTACTTACTGAGAATTACCTTCCCTTCACTTTTTTACAGAAAAGGAAGGGAGGAGGGAAGAAGGAAGGAAGGGAGGGAGAGAGGGGAAGAAAGAAGAGGCAAAAGTCTGCTATTGTCTGTTTTCCTTCTTTATTATTTTCTTTACTTGATTGATCCAAAATCCTTCCGTGAAATAGATTCGTTGAGCGTTCTCGTGGTCCTCACAATAATATAATTGTGTAATACATCACAGTTAATGATTTTCTTGATTATTTCAAGTCTTTTCTGAACAGTACGCTTTGCCTTGTGCTCTGATAATCGGCATCGACCCTCTTCTCACATTCAATTGTCAATTGGAAAATTTCAACCCATATTATTTATTAAGCTGACATTTTATGTCCTGTGAATACTGAGGTGGAAGATGGTCTCAGTATTCCAGCAAAACACTGATATCTGGCTGAGCGGTTTCTTATTTCCTCTGAGATCCTCATTTCCTGTGTGAGACAGAACAACTCTGGACATTGGCGAAGGAAGCGTAATCAAGGTAGAAGGATACTTTTCTGTATTTTCTAGTTTTGTAAAATGAATACTTTTTTTTTCATATTCACAATAATATTAAACTTTTTTTTTATTAAAGACATCAAAACAGAAATTTAGATGATTGAGAAGGAGGGGGTATGAATACATTTTGTTTAATTTTACTTTTACATTATTTTATGTCAAATAATCAATATAATATACCTCCCAGCTTCTGTTACCCAGAGAGAAGTGCCTTCAACTCATTAAATGGTTTATTCTAGTGCTTTAGTCCATGTTTCTAAATAACAGGCATGCTGATATTTCCTGATCGTCAGTTACAGGTATCTACTTGAATTCCTTGGATGACGTTTTATTTCTCCCCTTTGGCTCCTCTCCCAACACACACACTTTCCCTCTTCTAATATTTCCAGTACACATATTCACAATTGTTGGTTGAATCAACATTTAGCATTTGCAGTATTTATGAAGACCTAAATATTAATCACAAAAGGCTATTTTAGTTTTTCTAGCCACCTATACCTTTGGTTTATCTTCTGGGAAAATTGTGTTGATTGCCCCTCATTGGCAGCTTCAGGTTTCTTCCTGTTGTAACTTTGAAACTTCTTTTTTTCCAGAACCCCAAAGAAAATACACTCTGCAGAGGAGTAGTATGCAAAAAAGATTTTACCAAAGACCCGGTAGGGGAGAAGGCTTTAAAGGGGCATGTCATATACTATATACCACATTCTGATTTCTCTGAAAATCTCCCTGAGGAATCAGTTTCCATGTCTTTTTTTTTTTTTTTTATCAGTTGCCTAACAGAGAAATTGTCTCTACTTACCCTCCTAATAATCTATGCAATTCCTTGTGCATAGATCTCCCTCAAATTGTTCATGGTACATGCTCAGTGCGAGTTGGTAGGAGCAGTTGGTTTATGCTTTCATGATCACAGCAACAGCAGAAAAAGTTACATATGCCATTTGCACTCACATTTTATTAGAAAAAGCAAATCACGTGCGCACACCTAACTTCAATAGAGGCAGGGAGGTGTAATACTTACCTTACTGTGTGCCAGGAAGGACAACTGGAATGTATTTTATGTGTGTGTGTGTGTGTGTGTGTGTGTGTGTGTGTGTGTGTGTGTGTGTAGATCTTTATTGATTTCAGAGAGAGGAAAGAAGGGGAGAGAGTGAGATAGAAACATCAGTGATGAGAGAGTCATTGATTGGCTGCCTCCTGCACATCACAGCCCCTACTGGGGATCAAGCCCGAAACCCGGGCATGTGTCCTGACCGAGAATCAAATCTCGATCTCCTGGATCATAGGTCGATGCTCAACCGCTGAGTCACATGGGCCGGGCTGGAATATTTTTAAATAGCTCTAATGACATCCTTACTGAGTACAGGGACTCTATATGCCAAACAAAGGAGACTCTTACAAATAATTATATATATTTTAATTACCTGTAAAAATAACTTTTTCTTCCATTACATATATTTTGATAGCTTCTTGGAGACAGGAGGGCCCAAGAAACCTGACTTATGATTAACTCACCCATTGGATCACATGTCAGTCTTAATAGAGGTAAGTGGAATTTCTTTTATCCTGAAGTGTCCTCAAAAAACATCTTTCTATGTGTTTACTTATAAATTTATTAATTATTAAATTAACAAAGTATTATAAAGACTATTTAAATTTACCAAAAGGTAGCATTCCAACTTCTGAGAAATGAAAATAAATCTAAGGCAAAACCTTAATTATTACATGCATATTTGGTTTGATACTATACTACATTTAAGTTTTAATTATTAAAAATCTAAAATAATAATTATCTCAAGTTGAGAAATTGAAAACACTGACTATAAATTGCCTCAGAGAATAAAAATGCTAGTCAGACAGCTAAATACCAACCAATATCATATGTTTACTTTAGGATTTTGAAGAAGAATATTAGTATAATGATAATTTAGGCCTTTACTACAGCAGAATTTATTTCTCACTGCAAAATAACTATCATTTCAGGTCCAGTAAGCAAATAGACACCACCCATTCATTTCATGCAAGCCTCTGACGAGCTGCCTGTGGAAACAAATGTCTCTCCTTGCTCAACTAGCTAGAGTTCAAACTGGTGACTTGGAGGTGAAAGGTTGTGGATTCTGTTATCAATCATCTAGGCTACCCATTGCTCCATCAACAAAGTGCTGCCTCAGACAAGAGAAGGGAGAATTATTTTATTTCACTTATTGACACATTGCACAACTCTGTTAGCAAGTATCATCTTGTATACGTTATGAAAAGCAGCTTAAAAAGCAGCTTTCTTTTATTTAACATATGGAACATATGTGAAGGAAATGTGCAAAACACAATGTTCTGCAAATTGCTATGAATTGTTGGTGAGAAAATTCATTTACGGTTCCTGGATTTTTCTTCTTGTCTGTAACTGTCAACCAATGGCAGTGGGATGGATTGAGTCGCCCCATGCAGATGTCTGTGAACACAGTCTCTGGCCTCTGTCAGATAACATTACAGACCTGCCTTTAACACTCATTGCTCACATACTTGGGGGAATAAGTTATTTTACTTTTCTGCTACACTATTTTTTTTTTTCTTTGCCATAAATACATAGTAGAGAGTATAAAATGATTGTTGAGAGGTAGCTGACAGAGAAGTCAAGAGCTGCCCATTGGGATATTCATTACTTCATGAAGATAATTCATCTAAATAATTTATCAAAACAATACAAAAAGATGAAGACAGAATTTAGTCTCATGATTAGTTAACATTACTCAATAAAAGTTTGAAATACACTCTTGTGCTTTTCTCTGAGGCAACTTGGACTTCTAAAAGCACTGAGACAGAGTATCTTTTCTGGAAGGATTCCAAATGGTCCCAACTGCAGTTTATGCCAGATTGATCAGCGTCTTACTTTGTGCCATTAGTGCTCTGGAATATAGAAGTGAACAAAAGCAACACATTACTTAGCTTTATGTAATTTATTTTCTACTGAGAAGGCAGAAAATAAATGGATAAACAAATTATAATAAGGATAGTTTTAATAAGTGCTATAAAAAATGAAACCTAAGGCAAGGTAAGTGAAATGGGAGTATTGCAAATTTCTACTCTCAGTAGGTCATTTACAGAAGGCCTGTATGCAGAGCTAGCACGTGGGCATAAGTTTGAATGAAAAAGAAAGTTGTGAAAATATTTAATAGAAAATATTTCTGACAGAAAGAACAACAAATTAAAGGCTCATAGTAGGGAATATGCTTGGAGGGTTCAGGGACTGTCAAGAATATCCAGGTTGGAGAAAAATGGATGAGGGGAGGAGACGATGTGAGATAAGCGAGTTTTTGGTAAACCAGATTATTTGGAGCCCCAAGTAATATAATTGCTTTGGATTTTGTTCCAAGTGTCATGGGAGGGTATTTGGAAGGCTTGAGAGCAGGAAATTGATAAACAGTTTACCTTGTTAAATGGTATCTCTGGCCACTGTGAGGAAATAGATTCTAGAGAGTCAAGAATTGAAGCAAAGAGGCTATTACAGTAGCCCGGGTAAGAACTGATGGTGTATGGAACCGAATGACTATAAGGAGTATTCTTATTTTGGACATAATGTGTAAGAATGATAGGATTTTTTAATCTAAGAAGAACAAAGCCATCAGGATGTTTTACCTGATCAGCTGGATGAATGGCCAAACCACTAACTCAGGGAACACTAAAAGAAATACAGATTTGAGTGGCAGGAGGACCAATACTCTCTTTTGGACAGCATTAATTTGTGAGAAGATGCCTATTAGATTCTTGTATTTGTTTTCTATGCTGTGTAACAAATTACAACAAGCTTAGTGACTTAGAACAGCACAAATTTATTATCTCATAGTTTCTGTGGGGTTGGATTCCGAGCATAGCTTAGCTGAGTTTTCTGCAAGCCAGCAAACAAGCTATCAGCCAGCTGGGTTCTCATCTGGTGGCTTGATTGGAAAGGATCTGAATCCAAGCTCCCTCAGGTTGTATACAGACTTTCTTTCCTAGAAGTTTCAGAATTTATGGAAGCTTGCTTCTTTAAAATCAGCAAGGAGAGCAAGACTAGAGCAAGCCAGCTAGAAAGTTGGAGTCATATAATGTAGCATAATCACCAGAGTGACACCCCATCATCTTTATCATATTAAAGTCCCATGTCCTGTCCACATTCAAGGGGAGGGAATTCTACAAGGGCATGGAAGCCAGGATGTGAGGACGATGAGGGGCCATCTAACAGTCTATAGACACCCAAGTGGATAAACGGAGCAGGCAATTGAAGATGCATTTCATAGGGCACACCAGGGGTGGAGATCGAAATTTTAGAGTTATCAAGGTATTGCGTCTGAAAATACAATCAATAAACACGGTAGTTTGTTGTGATGCACATATATATAGAAAATCCTAGTAAGCTAGATTTTAAAAAAGATTGCAGAAAGTAATGCAAGGGTCAGGTTGGCTATCCAGTGGGTCAGCTCTTGCCTTCCTTAACATGGCTCCCACTCCTTACTAACTGCTGGCTCTTATCAGATGCAAACAGTATGCCACACAAATACCACGCTAAGAGCTTTAGATAGGTCACCTCACTTTATCCCTGTAATAAACTAATGATGCAGGTAATATTATTGGGATTTTTAAAGGTGAGAAAGCTGATGCTCAAGATCACACAGCTACTAAGAGAGACAGCCAGTGGGCGCAGTGTGACTCAGAAAGCTGCACACTTAACTGCGTCCTCCTCAGGGCCTCCCTCTGTGGCCGCCTCCCTGGGTCTCTAATTCCAGGTTTCCATTTTGGTGATTGGTGGGTTTTTCATCCATCTTTTTTTCTTTTTGTTTTACAACTTATTTTAAAATAATTTTAGACTTACAGAAGAGTTGAAAAAAATAGTAGAGTTTCATTCTTCTCCGTTTGTTTTCTTTCGTCTCCGTTCAGATCACATCAGCTTACTTCTCCCTCCCCTGGGGAGCTCTCAACATACACCTTTGTGGGCCCCAGTTGCTTTCACGTTGTGTAACAGACAATTTTTTTACTAACATTAGTCTTTTCACTAAAGACTAAAATATCCGCAGAATTAAAAAACGAATTAAATTAGTGCACAGGATGGAATCAGGGAAAAATCTATTCGTCTGAACCTAAAGAGAGAGAAGTCCAAGAGGAAAGAAGGAAAGTACTTTTGAGTAGGAGAAAAAGAAGTAAACACATTCATCACTTTTACAATTACTATACCGTAGGTTCTCTGAATTATATATAAGAACAACCTAGAAATTATGGCTCGAGGAGTGAAGCCGTAACTTATGTTTACTTTCTCAAATATTAAAAAAGTGTGATACAAAATATGTGTCTCATTATAATGTAATGGTTTATAGTAGAAATTTTAGCTGATTTCTTTTTGTTATTTTGTGCTCAGCGTAAGATGGATGGTTATAATTAATGCGTATTGTACGGTGCATGTGTTTACTATGGTTCAGAATACAGAGAGGGTGAGGTTGATCTCCCACTCTAAGGGCTGCTGTCCTGGACCCAGTGTTAGCATTATGGTGTGATTCTGTTGCATATTCAAATCAAGGTGTACAAGAACACAGAAAATCCTATTTCTAACTGAAAACCAGTTCAAAAAATCATTCTAATTTTTAAAAAAACACTAAAATTTACATGATTTTTCATTTTTTTTAAATCCTCACCCAAGGATATTTTTCCATCCTATCTCTCTCTCTCCCTCTTCCTTCCTCTCTCTGAAACCAATAAAGACATTGTTTTTTGTGGTTTTTTGTGTTTTTTTTTAATGGGCCATCCAAATTACCTACCCAGTTCTCTTATAATTCCTGATAAAGGCAATTAAAAAAAAATTTTTTTTAATATACCTTTATTGATCTCAGAGTGAGGAAAGGAGAGGGAGAGACAGAGACAGAAACATCAATGATGAGAGAGTCATTGATCGGCTAGCCCACAACCCGGCATGTGCCCTGACTGGGAATCGAACCCTGATCGCCTGGATCTTAGGTCGATGCTCAACCACTGAGCCACACCCGGCTGGGCAAAAAATTTTTGACAATTAAATATTTAATATTCAGCTGGCAGTTTAGTTTTAGGTCACCTTTGTGATCCCAAGAGATATTTTTTTCTGTCTAAGGAATTTGCCTTCTAGTTTTCCCAAGTTCAGTAAAACTCTCTACTATATAGAGTATATTTAATACAAAAGTAAGTATAATTCTAGACTCTTCTATCATCCTACTCCCCAATTCAAAACAATGATATTGCACCACCCCAAAAACTCACTCTTGAATCCATTCACTGCTCTGTTCATTGTCAGTATCATCAACTAGGCTGCAGTCATCAAGTCATACTCCCCTGCCTGCCTTCTCCATTCTTCATGCAGCAGCCAGTATATATTCTTTTTTAAACGCAGATTTGCATTCGTCATTTCTCTCTTTTTTGTTTATCTTTATGGTTGAGAGTATTACAGGTGTCCCATTTTTCCCCCAATTGACCCCCTCCACCTTGCTCCCACCCCTCCCCAGGTCTTCACCCTGTCATTGTCTGTGTCCATGGGTTATGCATATATGCATATAACTTCTTTGGTTAATATCTTCCCACCCTCCACGCCCCTTCCCGCTTTCCTCTGAAATATGATCGTCTGTTGCATGCGTCAGTGTCTCTGGATCTATTTAGTTCATCAGATTCTTTTGTTCATTAGCTTCTTCTTAAAGAAGACCTTTCAGCTTTCCTGTAGTGCTGGTCTGGTGGTGATGAACTCCTTTAGCTTTTTCTTATCTGTGAAGCTCTTTATCTCACCTTCAGTTCTAAATGATAGCTTTGCTGGGTAGAGTAATCTTGGTTGTAGTTCCATGTTTTTCATCACTTTGAATATTTCTTGCCACTCCCTTCTGGCCTGCAAAGTTTCTGTAGAGAAATCAGCTGACAGCCGTATGGGTGCTCCCTTGTAGGTAACTAACTGTTTTTCTCTTGCTGCTTTTAAGATTCTCTCTTTGTCTTTAACCTTTGGCATTTTAATTATGATGTGTCTTGCTGTGGGCCTCTTTGGGTTCCTCTTGTTTGGGACCCTCTGTGCTTCCTGGACTTGTAAGTCTATTTCTTTCCCCAGGTAGGGGAAGTTTTCTGTAATTATTTTTTCAAATAGGTTTTCAATTTCTTG